TCTTGGGAAGTTTGTGTTATCTGGAAAATGTCTAAACTTTCATCAAGAACCCAGACAAATTCTGCTTAAGTGCCAAATGAGATTCTTGGAAGGCTAAATAGTAATGTTAATGTTATCAGGACAGCAAACTTTTTGTGTTGACACTTGACAAAAGAGGCTCAGTCACATGTATTGGAGTAAAGAACAGTAGTCACGGATGCTGGTAGACAGGCAGGTCATAGTTAATAATTTCTATCTCAAAGAAGGGGGCCTGGAAAATTCAGGCAAAATGGTAGCATAGACTAAAGCTCCAGTCTTTTGGAAAGCAGGATACTTTCTGGTACCCTTAAGGATCTTGGGATTTTCCTGGTGGCAGGGAGAACATGCAAACATTCAGAAATTATCCCCATATCCCACTATTTTGAAAGGGAAGTTTCCCCTTTCTGATAACTTAGTGAGGTTTCATGTTCCCACCGCACACCACTGGAATGCTCAGCACTTGTATCAAATTGGTGGGGGTTTCTTGGGGCTTAGTCCTCTTAACATTCACAGCATGTGGTACCATTGACCACTTCTTCCTTAAGAAGCTCTTCTCTGCCTTCTTCCAGGTTACCACTGAAATTATCCCATGTGCATGGTTTAGCTGCTCTTGTGCTTCTCCAACTCCAGAAATATCCACACCGAGAGCCCCAATATCACCATTTACATTACTCTTCCTTTGACTTGAGGTTGAGAGACAGAGAGGTTCCTTCTAAATCTTACATACCTATCTCTAAGAACCTTAGGAAGGCCAATGAATCCTTCTAGAATGCAGGGATTCTTGGAAGGGATTAAGAATGAGCACAACCTTACTTCAATCACAGCACTAAGAGTTCCTTCAAGAGGGTGGTACCATTTGCATAAGAAAATCTTGATATTTGAATATCTCTGAGCTGTGAAATCAGTCTGAGGAATATTAACAGGAACCCACCAGAGACTCATCCCAAGAGCTCCTCCAGTTTCAAGTGATTGAATCACCTCTCTCATTTCCATACATGTACTACTAATACAGTTGCCACATCCCAACAAAGGAAAATGTTGCTATTTTAAAGAAACTGATCATGTCTCCTCTTACAGATCCTGAGCCATCATGTTAGGGTCACACAGGGGCTTCATTACTATTATTCTCTACTCTGGATTTCTTTTTCTGCTTCACCTTTGCTCAGGAAAAACCCTATCTCTTAGCTCAATGGCAAGTTCACTTCATGGAAATATATGAAAGACACCACTCCATAGTGAATGAGGAAGTAGTGCAAAACCCTCTAGCTGGAAGAGGATAGAATGGATATCTTCGGGCTAGAGGGAAGAAGCTACTTTAAGATCTAGCTTGATTTGTATTAATAGACCTCTTTCTGGAATTTTGGAAGAAAGGCAGGAGTAGCTGAGACACTGAATCCCTCTAACTACCTCTCCATTTTCTAATGTATCATCTCTTTCTCCTATGAGATATGTCCTCACCTGCCTTTTTTAAAAAAAAAAAAATTTACATCATTGTTCATTTGTAAACAATATTTGCTTCCCCCCCTCCCAACTTCAGGTGTAGTCCCCATAGAATTTCCTTCACCAATGCACCTGTGCATCATCACCACAGTCCCCTGTGCTCCTCCCTCCCTCCCTCTGATCCCTCTCCCTCCTCCTCCCCTGCAGGATGACTCTGATTTATAATTGTCTGTTTTTGTTTTGTTGTGCTTTGTATGGTTATTATTTTTTTTACACTGATGTCTTATTGGTTTCCCCTATATTCCTCCTATAAGTGAAACCATCTGATATTTTTCTTTTCCTTCTGTCTTATTTCACTGGCCATGATTCCTTCTAGCTCAATCCATGTTGCTGCAAATGGCATGAGTTTATCCTTTTTGATTGCTGAATAGTATCCCATTGTGTGTATATACCACGTCTTCTTGTTCCAGTCATCTGTTTTTGGGCATTTGGGTTGTTTCCAGGTTTTACCCATTATAAATAGTGCTGCAATAAACATAGGGGTACAGGTGTTCTTTTGAATCAATGTTTTTGTGTCCTCACCTGTCGTTAATAATGGTACCCGCTGCTCCCTTTAGGAGTATATTTCAGTAGATCTGTCTCTTCTGCTCCCCACTCTGTGTCTGGTGAACCCTCTTAACCCCCACACCTCTGGCCTACACCCCAGTTCTTCTATGCAACAAATAAAATAAATAAAAATTTAAAAATAATAATAATGGTGTCTCTACCTTTGAAGAATTCCATTGAAACATTTATGAGTCCTTTCCAGATTAACTCCTAAATTCTTTTATCTGTAAAGCTCTCAAGAAATGGTGTCTTACATACAGACCAATGGAATCGAATAGAAAATCCAGAAATAAACCCACAGATTTATGGTCAACTAATCTTTGACAAAGGAGCAAAGACTATGCATTGGAGCAAAGAAAGTTTGTTCAATAAATGGTGCTGGGAAAACTGGGTCGCTACATGCAAAAGAATGAAGCTTGACCACTACCTCACACCATACACAAAAATCAACTCAAAATGGATTAAAGAACTAGACATAAGACCTGAAACCATAAAATACATAGAAGGAAATATAGGCGAAACACTACGGGATTTGCACATCAAAGACATCTTTACAGACACATCACCCAAAGCAGTGATAGTGAAGGCGAAGATAAACAGCTGGGACTACATCAAATTAAAGAGCTTCTGCACAGCAAAAGAGACAATAACAAAAACAAAGAGAAACCCCACCAACTGGGAGAACATTTTTGCACCCAACACTAATGATAAAGGACTGATCACAAAAATCTGCAAAGAGCTGATGAGACTCAGCAACAACAAAGAAAATAACCCAGTCAAAAAATGAGCAGAAGAGCTAAAAAGAAACTTCTCTGAAGAGGAAATGCAAATGGCCAACAGACATATGAAAAAATGTACAACATCACTTGTAATCAGGGAAATGCAAATCAAAACTACCATGAGATACCATCTCACACCAGTGAGAATGGCACATATTAAAAAAACTAGCAACAACAAATGTTGGCGAGGGTGTGGAGAAAAAGGAACTCTTCTGCACTGTTGGTGGGAGTGCAAACTGGTCCAACCACTATGGAGAGCTGTGTGGAGATTTCTGGACCTACTAAACATAGAGCTTCCATATGATCCAGCAATTCCACTCCTAGGTATTTACCCAAAGGACACAGAAACATCAATTCCAAAGAGCACCTGCACCCCTATGTTTATAGCAGCACTGTTTACAATAGCTAAGCTTTGGAAACAACCCAAATGCCCAAAAGTAGATGACTGGATCAAGAAGATGTGGTACATATATACCATGGAATATTACTCAGCATTCAAAAAAGATAAACACATGCAATTTGCAGCAACATGGATGGCGCTGGAAGGGATCATGCTCAGCGAAATAAGCCAAAAAGAAAAAGAAAAATACCGGATGGTCTCACTCATAGCAGGAATCTAGAAAACTTAAATAAGGGACCAGGAAAATGAATATAAGAAAGTGAAAATCAAAATCAACAAAAAACTATGAACCAGAGACACTTTTTGGGGGTGGGGGGCGGGAGGGGAAGGATTGGGGTCAGAATGGGGCGTTTGCAATTGTATGGGGGAATATAAAAATAAAATTTATTATTTAAAAAAAAAAAGTTCTAAAAAAAAAAAGAAATGGTGTCTTAGACCTCCCTGGTGGCCTAGGGGTTAAGTCTCAGTGCTATCACCCTTGTGGCCTGAGTTCACTCCCCGGCCAGGGAGCTAACCCACATGTGGTGCAGCAGACCTCTCCCGTCTCCCCTGTTGCTCCCTTTAGCAGTGCATTTCAGTAGATCTGCCTGATCTGTTCCTCACTGTCTCTGGCAAATTCTCTCACCCCTAGCACTTCTAGCTTATACCCCAGTTCTTCTAAGCAAAAATAAAATCTTAAAAAAATAATAAATTCTCTGCCACATTTCTGAGGGAAAAAAAAAAAAAAGAAATGATTCTCCTCATCACAGAACTGCAGAGGATTCACTTCCAACATGGGTCGTTCATATGGCACTGATGCCGGCTGTCAGCAGGGGATGTGAGTTTCTCAATACTTGGACACTTCCACAAGGCTGCCTGAATGACCTCCCCAGAGAGCAAGGACCAACCCACAATATCTTTTATGACCTCGCCTCAGAAGTCACACACCATCATTCCTAAAATGCCTTATTAGTTACATACAAGTCAATTTTATTCAGTGTGGTTTTTGGAAGTGGATGGGGGACGGCAGTGTGTATGAATACTAGGAGATAAGGAACATTAAAGATCATTTTGAAGGCGGGGTACTGCAATACATTGTGAATCGCCAAAACGTATTTGACAACAAAATTAATGTTTCATAGAGCATTCCAAATATACTAGGATCCCATAGAATGCATGGCAGGGGATACCACTGTGGTGGCCACATTGGGAAACAAGGTTTTAGAGGCTTAGTAGTGGGTGTGTCTGGAAAAGGTATGTCTGGAAAAATAATCCTAGAAAATGGAGCATGAGTGTGCATTAAGGGCTCCCTGAATGGAAGACATCCGAAGCTCAAGCTGAGTTCCCAGCTCCAAGGGGGCTCAGAAGCCACTCTAACCAAGATTCCTCGCTTGAGAAGGTTAGCACAAGACTGCCTTGCCAGTTCCCAAACTATTTGGAAAGTCTATTACCTTCAGAGCTGTTCACTTCTCCCGTTCTAAATCAAAGACAGGGTGGGGAAAAGTCAAAGTTTACAGGCTGAAAGAATTTTTCGCAGAATCCCTAATATCTGGAGATAGAAACCCTCGATTTAGAGATTTAGAAAGTGCAACTGTTCGCAGCCAGGAACAGCCTTGTCCGGGAGACTGTTTATTGCAATTCTCATCCACAATACTGGATCCCTACAGTCTCTTTTATGATGTGTGCTAATGACTGGATGATTCATATCACAAAAGCCCTGTTCTTCTCTACTTCGTTTGCACAACAGCTTGTTTGCAAAGCTCCCAGCCTGGGGTCAGTCAGAGCCACAGTGTTTGGAGGAAGTTCGTCCTCATCAAATGTTTACAGTGACTTATCTGCAGACATAGGGTAGGAAAGGAAAGCCGAGGACGACGTCTGGAGAGTGAGCGAGAACTGGGAAGGGACAAGAAGCTACGGAGAAAGAAAGGGAAGGTCTAAGAGGAAAAAGGAGTAAGAAACCGCGAGCAGTCACACGCCCCAGACAGCCCAAGAGCGCGTTCGCCGTCTTCGGCCACAAGGGGGCACCCTTTCAACTTTCTTTCTGCATCAAAATGAAAAAGGGGGGCAAAGAGGAGGCAGAAAAGGCACAGCACTCCCCGCGCCAAGAACAATTTGCAAACCCACCCCATAAGATCTGAAATCTGGGACAAAGAACCGTCAGGACGGAACTGCCTCAAACTGCAAAACCTCAGCGCAGCCTCGAGAGGGGCGCGCGGGCAGGAGTCAGGAGCAGCGCCTTTAAAAAAGCGAAGTGTAGTATTGGGATTCTTGAAACCTGAAACCCAGAAACCAGCATCGGAGCGGAAACCAGAAGGAAAACCTTGAACTCTTTCGGACAATTGCTTCCGGGGAGTTTTCTGGAGCTCGAGGGGGAATAAAGGACCCGCGAGGAGGGCTCCTCGGATGGCGCGTCCCTGAGGGCGCTGGCGAGCTCGAGGCGCGTGGGAAGGAGCGGACCCGACCCTCTCCCCGGGCTGAGGTCATGGCCACCGTGGAGCAGAGAGCCCTCCGCATCGGCTTCAAGTGTCTCTCTTTGGCCACTTTTGTGCTCATCTGCGCCGGCCAAGGGGGACGCAGGGAAGAAGGGGGACCCGCCTGCTATGGGGGATTTGACCTGTACTTCATTTTGGACAAGTAAGTGCCATGAGCCGTTCCATCCCCGGCTAACCTGATGATGCTTTTTTTCCCCGGGCTGGGCTTGTCGGCAGGGTCGCTTTGGGAACGGCTTGCCTATCTCCTGGGCCCGAAAGGGACCGCAGAAGGTGCCAGGGGCTCCAGCCCCGCGCCTTTGTCAGGGAGGTGGCTGCTCCATCCCTCCCCGCTGCCGCCCGCGCGGAGCAGGCGCCGCCGCCTGTGGTGTAGACAGCCTTCTTTTCTGACTTGCTTTCTGTGACCGAGAAGTGTGCGAGGCGTGTGAGGATGCTGTTGACCTACTACGTTTCTGTGAACCCTTTAAATTTGCTTTAGAAATCGTGGTGAGAAAGCCTTGCTTAGGAGAGGCAAAACTTAAAAAGTAAGTCTCCAAGAGGCGTGGGCTTTTAAAAGTCAGTCATGTCTTTTAAAAAAACCAAACGCGTCCTACATAATGCAACACCTTTGTTTCTGACAAGGTCATGCACGCCGCCTTACGGCAGTTTGTGAAAAAATGTTAGGTGGGCTTCTCCACCTGGGCACTACTGAGCTTGAGGCGGGCGAATTCTTTGTTGTGGGGCTGCCCTGTGCATCGTAGAGTGGTGATTAGCAGCATCTGGCCTATCCGCTGTAGATACCAGTACTGTACCTTCCAGATCCCTCCAGCCCCCTCCAGTCTTGCTGGGGTGACCACCCAAAAAGCCTCCAGATATTGCCAAAGCCCCATGCGGGTAAATTTCTCTTCCCCCTCGGTTTGAGAAACTCCGGTGTAAGCGAATTCAAGTTCTTGGCCTTTGGATTGACTGGTGGGCTACCAGGGAGGTGCAGGAGCGCTGGTTTCCTTACAGAAATGGAAAGTGGTCAGGCTTCAGGACTGAGTTCAAGGGAGAACTGAATGCTGAACAATTAAACACTTCCCAAATACCCATCGATTTGCCAAACCTCAGTCATTCAAGGAAGCATCATGCTATCGACTAAAATCCATCTTCCACAATAAAAAGCCCCTCAGAAAGGTCCCTGCCCATTAAAACTCTGTGAGCTACCCAGTGCCAGGAGAGGACTTGCTGTTACGGCAGAGGGGAGATGAATTTCACAGACTGGAAAAGTATTTGGGAGTTGGAAAAAAGAGTCCTGCAAAATAAACTGGCCAGCTAGACATCAAATGTGCTTTGCAGTTGCCCCTGGAGTTTGGTTTTTCCGTAAAGGTTGTTTTGAACTCCCAGATTCTTGGGATGAAAAGTGAGATCTCTTTCTTGCAGATTTATGAGAAGGTGGATACTGAAATGTATTTCATTGCTAAGAAATGGAATTTCTTTTGTTACTTCTAGAGTCTGGGAACACTAGCTCATAGTTCAAAGACATTGTCAGAAAACAGTCAGTTGCCCATCTAGTGCTCTTCACCCTACCCCACCCCCTAAAAAAAAAAAACAGATCAGAAAGACAAACAAGGAACGGATAATTATCCCGGAATGGATAATTCAGTGATTAGAGATCACCCTTTCTCCCAGATTAATTTCAGTTGAATTAAGTTTTCAAGTCAAGTCTCACTTAAGGTTCTGAAAGAATTTATTTTGTTGTTGAGAGGAATTTAGCAAAAATGATTTTAGGTTTATCTTAGAGAGAAAAAAAACTGATTTAAAAAAAAGAGTGGAAAGATTTTTTTAGAAATAGTGAAAAATACCAAATCCCCCAAATATTAAAATATAAAGCAAATTCATAAAGAAAAACAGGATGGTAAAGATCAGAGAATAGGTGGGCAGAATAGGAAGTCTGGAAATAGATCCAAGGGCATGTAAGCATTTAGTGGGAGTTCAAGTCAAGGGAATTATTTGTTATTTTTAAAAGTGATTCTTGGGCAAATGGTAACATGAGAAATGGAAAAGATTAGATACATATTTTATACCACACACCCAAATAAATTCCAGGAGAAATGGAAATTTAAATGTTTAAAATGAAATGATGAAAGAACTAGAGGAAAATTTAGATGAATATTACTATCATCTTAGGTTTAGAGCTTTTAAAACTATTTAAGGATTTAAATACATTAAAATTTTACATTTCTCCAGTGAAAAATGTAATATACAAAAGATGTTTCAAAAACTCTTACAACACATTACTCTTTAAAGAGTGATCTTAATATGGAAAAAAGTTGTTTTAAAAAGATAATCTCAATAGAAAATAGGTTTACTACATAAGTAATTCACCCTCAAAAAATCATATATGAAATTCATTAAACAAAAATGTTCAACTTCATTAGTCATAAAGAAATGAAAAAATCAAACAAGATATAATATTCATTAAGTTGGCAAAGATTTTGAAAGATCTACAATATTCAGTATTGGTCAACTACAGGCAGTAGGTGCTGCTCTATCTTAAAATACAAATTTGTATAGTCTTTCTAGACTTGCAATGTCTGATAGAAATTTCTGTCCAAATAGAAATTTCTTTGATAATATATGGTTGCTACTATCTTTGTGTGACTATTGAGTACCTGAAATATAACCAGCACAATCAAGGAGGTGAACTTTTTACTTTAAGTTTAGTGATTTTAAATTTTAGTAGCCACATGTGGCTTCTGTACTGGGTAGTGTAGACAAGAAGAGGGGTTGGCAACATCTATCAAATGCTTTTTAAAATGGGGCTCTACTTTTCCACCCAGAAATCCCATATCCTACAGAAAAAATCCAAGATCATCATCAAGAAGTGCCTCTATGTACATTCATGACTTTGGTGTTTGTTATAATCAAGCTGAAAGTTACCTAACTGTCCAACATCAGGGATTTATGAGCTAAGGCAAGGCATATAGATAGTATTGAAGATGCATATTAGGGGCACTTGTAAGACATTTTAGGACAAATATTTAATGCTCATAATACATTCCAAGGTGAAAATATAATTACCAAACATACACATGCCAAACATTATGTGCATTATGATTGTCCATTGTAAAAAAAAAAAAAGACCAAACAACAAAACAACTAAACACACGTGTCTAGGTGTCTGCTTACGCAATGTGTGATAGTATTTCTCTCCAGAAGACAGGACTTTTAAATTATTTTTTAAGTTATTTTTGAATATTCAGAATTTTTTTTTACAATGAACATATGTTATTTTTCTATATTCAACAAAAATAAGTTACTTTGAGTTTTTAAAAAAACATTTAAAATGTGAGGCAGGTCTCCAGCCAGGGCTCTGAGCTCCAAACTGGTGATTATGGAGGATGCTGCTGCTTTTCTTTTTTGCCCTGAAGTAAATTTCTAAATGCACCATAGGATCTTTTGCAGTACGCTTAATACCCAATTGCTCTTGGGGAAACAAATGATGGGAGACCTTACAGACCCCTATTTTTACTTTTAGGTAGACTCTTCAGACTTCCTTTAGTTGTCACGTTGAAGAGAGAGATATTTGGGGGCTGAAGGAAAAACTCACTAGAACTCAGTGTGACATAGCATACTGTCCCCCCACTTACTATCTCCATCCAGGCTCATTCTTATGATTGTTGAACCCAGAGCTGGGGGTGTGCCAAGAGATAATGATGGCAAAGAGGCCCCTGGTGGTCCCTAAAGACATGGTCTTTTGTTCTAGAAAGAACCTCCTCAGATAGTGCTGTCCAGCACCAACCATAGCATGGTGGGGAGGGAAAGAATGCTGACTTGTTTTTTCCTTGGGCTTCTAAGATCCTTGGCTGACAAGACACTATCTACAGGCTGAAAGCAATGGATCACAGGGCTCCGAATTCACCCTTCTCTCCAACCCTTAGCTTCCTTTTTCCTGGTGTACGGTTCTCTTCTTTTCCTTGACGTTAAATTTCAGCTCATTTCAATTTTCAGCTGGATGCACCCCCCGGCCTGGCAGGAGCCCAGATTATACATTTAATGGAACGTCATGTTTTCTCAAACAGGAGCAAAGACTTCATAATGATAACCTAGAATACCACAGTAACACAATAGGGCATGGTTAGTGGCTTTGGTGACAGGGTCGGTGGACTGGGGTGAACAAGGCTTTAGACTGATGGAATTTCATGTTCATTTAAACATGCTTTTCTGGTTATAGTCAGGAAAAGTAGATTGCTGGGAATTCAATTAGGAATTTGGAAAGTGAGATTTGGAAGGCCTCTATCCAGAGAAAAACAATCAAGGAGCAGCTAGGTCCTTTAAGTCTCCCAGGAGTGCTAAAATTAATGCACCCCATTGACCATCCCATGGACATGCACACAGGGCTCTTCTCTTGCAGGGCTCTTCAGGTGTTACAGCACATATTTATGAATCACATATTGGTCTGTTTTATATAGAACTAGTAGTCATTGACATGGAAAACATGGATTCCCATCATGAGTCTCTGGGAAGTGCTGTTATATTCACATGTGCCCTGAAGACCTCAAAAGTAAAATGGTGGGTTAAAAGCAGAGCAGGAGTGGAGGGCATGATGGCTGGGAGGGAGACAGTAGCACTAAGTAGCTTATTTACAGGACATCCCTAACCACAGTCTGTCACCCAATAAATCCTTACATTTGTAAAGACATCCATGCACTCATTGCATACTCCTTCCCAGTAGAACCCCAGACTCCTCCCTCTGCTACTTCCTTTTGGCTCAGCACCAATTTTCTCTTTCTTTTTTCCCCACACAAAAGGACCCCATCTTGCCACTCACCCAGAGTTTCAACCCTAGCACCCACTTGGATGACCCCAAATTGGTGATGTTATACTCTATGTATTTTACTCCAGGGACATGGTAATAGAACACATTTTTGTGGCAATAGGCTGGGAACCTCACCTTACCTTCTGGGTTCCAACTACTACCTCACAAAAAAAATCTCTAGAGTCAGAATTAGACTCTCCCAACACTAAGACTATCTCACAATACCTCCTACCCCCAAACAACCTTGCTTGGTAACTAGGACAAGCTCTACTGTCCTTAATGTACTGTTAAACCTTTGTCTGACCCACTCTATTAAGTGACCTGCCCAAGGATCTTGGATAAGCTCCTGATGGAGCTGGGACAGT